AACAGCCCATTTTCACTCAGCAGAATTTTTAGGGTTGTGTTAAAACCAGCTGAGCAACATACTAGATTTTCAACAACTTATTTATACTCACAAAAAAATAGAGAAGGTTTATCTGATTATTAGTTGCTACCAAATTTTGTATTCAATATTTTCTGTACACTTACATCTTTGTCCTACATCTTTTCAATAGTAAGCAACTCAGTGACAGACTGAATTGCTTGCAGAATTGGGTGCTAAAGTTTTCCTTATAGGGAATCTTGCAATGATGAGTTTTATGCTCTGAATTTATCTGAAGACATTTTTGTCTTGACTGTCACATGTTGTCTCCTCAGCCTTATCTTTAATGTTGATTCAGGAATGAGAACTCATCAAAGCTTTCCTTCTGTCTTGAACACTTGAGTTTTTTTCCCCATCTCCTTTGGCCATTTTTTTTTTTTATTAGTGAAACACCATGAGATACAGTTGTAGACTTACAAACTTTTGTGCCTGGGTTTCAGTTATACAGCAGTTGAGTACCCATCCCTCCACCAGTGTCCATTCCCCACCACCAATGATCCTAGTAGCCCTCCCACTCCTACACTCCATCTCCCCCACCCCAACCCGCCTCTGTGGCAGGGCATTCCCTTTTTCTCACTCTTTCCTTCAGGGTCTTGTAGTTTTCAGTAGAGGTATTCAGTGGCCATCGTGTTTGGTCTATAGTCTACTTTCAGTACGCATCTCTCATGCCCAGCGAGTACTCCAAACATCCTTTACTTGGTGTTCCCTTCTCTATCTGAGCTGCCTTTCCCCAAAGCATGTGCTGCTGGCTTCCAAGCCCTGGAGCAGACCTCCTGGTACTTATCTCAGCTATTCTTGGGTGTTAGCCTAAATTTGGAAAAAGCAGATGACTGGTTAAAGAAACCCTGACATTGTTTTAAGTAATGTTAATTCGCATGTTTACAGATGTGGATTGTGATTGCTTGCTTCCTTGAAATGATTTTTTAAAGGATGGATTATCTGGTATTCTCTAAAAGGGTGTAGGTCAACTAATTGCTAAAGGTTTGTTTGTTTTAAATCTTATCCCCTATTTTAAGGATGGAGGTTTTTAAATCTTCCTATCTTAAAGATAGGAGATAAGGTAATTTTAATTTTATCTCTTATCTTTAAACCTTTGTGTGCACAAGAAAACTTAGTCTAAATTTGCCTACAGGTCCCACACAGAGATTTACTAAGAACTGGACTTGTTTCATGATGAAATTACACTGAATTTCTCATATATTAGTAAGAATTTTTCAACAGTTATTGTCATAGTGTTTTGGTATCAGATTAGTTCTTTGGTGTGAATAAACATAGCCTTCCACATTCTTTCCTGTAGCTACTAAATGCATATAATTTCTTCCACACTTTGTAAATGCTCTGGCTATTTGTTATTCCCTTATTGTTTGGCCATTTGTTATTCCCTTATAATTATTATTAATAATAATATTATTATCTTTTATTTTGCATATAGGAAAGATTTTTGTATTTATTCTGGCGGCGTTGGTTTATACATACACATAGATGATTAAAGCTGTAGCACTGGAGCACCGTCCTCCCGTTGTTCATCGCTTTGCTGGAGCGGGCACCAGTAATGTCTCACAACAAATTGTGACTTGTTACTGTGTTTGGCATATTGAATATGTCTTGGGGAGCTTGCCAGGTCCTGCTGTGCGGGCAAGATACACTCGGTAGTTTGCCAGGCTCTCCGAAAGGGGCGGAGGAATCGAACCCCGGTCAGCCACATGCAAGGCAAACCTATTGTACCTGCTGTGCTATTCTGCAGAATTGTAAATCAGTGTTAAATTAAAAATAAAATAACTGTTCCTTCCTCCAAATGCATCTTTTTCCTTTTGTAGGTATATAAGTTAAAAGTAATACTGTGAATAATTCTCTGCTAGTTGTAAAATTTGCATGAATTAGATAAATCTGACAAATGCATGGTTTAGTAAGAGTGGGAAGAAGAAAATTAAGAAAGTTTTAGGAAACAATGTAAATAGACTCATAAAAGTATAAACATGTTTTTTATGAGAAAAGGAAATATAGGTTTTATGTTAGGAAATATAAGATAATCCTTAAATATCTATTAATAAGTAAAATATTATAATAATAACCTCTATGGTTATAAAAACATTACCTGGGTAGATATAGAACCTTTGATATAAACCAAACATTATTCATTATTGAAAAAGCATAAAATCTTTGGCAAGCGAGGACCTCACAAACCTTTCTAAATCTTATAGAGAGCCACCATAAGTACCATGAGTGAATGCCACACTGAGTTGCAAAGTGCTGAGAAGTTTGAATGATCTTTTAAAGAAGCCCTAAATCCTTCTCGTAAAACTGGTTTCTAGCCTATCACAGAAGCTCTGGATTGTTGGATTGTTTTTTTTTAAGTCTGAGTGATGATCCAGCTGGATAGAGTATACTTGGTCAGGTTTTAATTTCATTTAGTTTTTCTTTTTTTAAAAAACTATATCCTACCAATTCTCTTCTGATGATCTCCTCTGAGTATCATTTGATAAATCTGCAAATCTTCTGGGATTTCCTCTGTATGAAAGTCTCTTTTTTGATTTTGCTATTGTTAATATTCTGTCTCTGTCTTTGGTTTTGTTATTCTGACTGTACTGAGTTTTTGGGGACATTTTGGCTAAGCCCCATGTTGAATCTGGGAGCCTGTGCTTCTCAACTCTGGAATATTCTTGGCTATGGTTTAACTCGTGGTTCTTCATGGACTTTTCCTTCCTGTTCTTCAGGGACTCTGATGACTCTGATATTGTTCTTGACTTTATTTCATAGTTTTTTGATGTGCTGTTTATTTCCTTTCATTTTTTTTTTCTTCATCTTACATTTATTGAGGCTGGAGCGTTAGCACAGTGGGTAGAACGTTTGCCTTACACTTGGCTCACCCGGGTTCGATTCCTGCATCCCTCTTGGAGAGCCTGTCAAGCTACTGAGAGTATCCCTCCTGAACATTGCATTTTTATATCACTAACCATTTTCTTCATTACTGACATTTAGGAATATAGTATCCTTATTTCTGCTCTCAAACTTTCTTGTGCGTTTCTGGATCCACAATTCTTGGTTTTTTTTAAAAATTATTATTTCATTTTGGGGTCGGGGTCACATCTGCCAGTATTCAGGGCTTATTCCTGCTCTGCACCAAGGAATTACTCCTGGCGGGCCTCAGGGATATATACGGGATGCTAAAGAGATAAACCCAGGTTGGCTGCATGTAAGGAAATACCATAACCCTCTGTACTCTATCCAGCTCTGATCCTATGGCCCGTCATTTCTTTGAGCTCATTAAACATCTGAAACATGATATCTGAGAGTTTACAAAACTGGTTGGTCCTGGTAGAGCCTTCTATGCTATTAATTTCATTCACTGAACTCAGTTGGGGTGGGCTTTTACACAAATTCCTCATCATGTTTGCTTGCTCTGGGACTGAATCTTTGTAGTTACCTCCACTGGAGTCTGAGGGATTAGTCTGGGTTTCTCCCTTCCGCATCTCTGCTGGTCCTCAGCTAGTGACAAGGTATAAGGGTATGTAGTGGAGGTGCAATGAGTGGAGCTATTGTGGTTCAGGGTATAAGTAATGGCAAGTGGAGTAATGGACTTAGGGTTGAGGCTGCTGGGATGCAGGAAGAATAGAGGGGAATCTGCTTCCAGTTCTATAGAAAGGCCTGGGGCTGACAGTTAGGAGATTAACTTCACTCAGGTTAAATGAGCAAGCAAAAAGTCTGAGATGTGACTGTGGGCCTGTTGAGATCATCTAATATGTAGAAGGTACATCTAGGATACAAATTCAGCTACTAAAATTTTTAACTTGGTGTTTCTGGCTTTAACCTGGTTATCATCTTTTCCTGGGTGCAATTTTTGTTTGCCACGTATGCTTCTCTGACTGAAAATTGGTATTGAATTTCAGAAGACTGAATTAACAAATTATTTCTCGGTGCACTTTTAAAATTTATTATGTTAATTTAACCAATTAATTTCTTTGTTTTGAAGTCCATTTGGCTGTACTCAGGGTTTGCTCCTGGCTCTGTGCTCAGGAGTCACTGCTGCTGGCTGTGCTTTGGGAACCATCGTGGTGCTGGGAATTGAATAGAAGTCAGCTGCATGCAGAGTAGGTGCTTACTGTGGGTGTTGTCTCACTGGCCCTTCTCTTTAAGTGCTCTGGGTCATTTGAGGTACGATCAAGTAGTCAATGGAATGTTGAACTGCTGTATTTTTCCTGCTTAATTTTACCTTGAAGCTCTGTTATTGACCTGTTTTCCTGTATTAATTTGGAGCTTCATGTGTGCTGCTATTGGAATTAGTTCCATTCTTGTGACACTTGATGTCCTAGAAATGTCAGACAATTTCTTGATCATTTGAATGATTAAAACAGACTGTTAGAGTGTTAACATGGAAATACAATATTTTACTATTCCCTGTGCAATTTACCTCTGGATGTCAGAAAGGGCAGTTCGAAAACTTGATTCTCTTGAATAGCGATAACCTCACTCTCTTACTAACCTTACCTGTAGCACTCACTGTAGCACTGTCCTCCCGTTGTTCATCGATTTTGCTCGAACAGGCCCAGTAACGTCTCCATCGTGAGACTTTGTTGTTACTATATTTGGCATATTGAATACGTCATGGGTAGTTTGCCAGGCTCTGCCGTGCAGGCGAGATACTCTTGGTAGCTTGCCGGGCTCTCTGAGAGGGGTGGAGAAATCGAACTCGGGTCGGCCAGGTCAGTCACATGCAAGGCAAACGCCCTACCCGCTGTACTATCCAGACCACTACCCTTACCTAGTAATATTTGCAAGTAAAAGTGCTTTAGTGATTGATTCTATGGGGTTTTTTTTAATGGTTGTTCTTCCTTTGTATCTTAGATTGTAGAAATGCACTAAAATAATGCTCTGTATATATTTTTGTCTGTCTAGTCATGTCTAATCTCACTTGTTTTCTCCTTTTATTTTCTCTGCGTTTGCAGGATGATGAAGTGGTTTTGCAGTGTACCGCAACCATCCACAAAGAACAACAGAAATTATGCTTGGCAGCAGAAGGATTTGGCAACAGACTTTGTTTCTTGGAGTCCACTTCAAATTCCAAGGTGGGATAAACCCTTTTCAGGCTGTCCAAATATTCAAGTTTTACTAGTGCATCGTAGTAATTGATGGCCACTCTTCTTTTTTTTTTTTTTTGGCACACATAAACTAAAGGCGATATGAGCTATAAGCCTTCACTGTTCTAGAAGCGTATTTTTAATTGAGTCTCTGCTTTATGCAAACCACTCAGATATGATCGCATAGGTACATTTCTTGCACCCAGGATATTTATATTTGTGTAGAAATGTAAACCTGTATATTAGTGACTGAGAAGAAAAACAGAGTAAGATGTAGAGGATGAGGCAAGGATTTACTGTTCACAAAGTGTGATAGGCACAGTCATTTTGTTGTAGTGACACTTGAACAGTGTAGACAGATATGGGATTGAGCTGTTCTTGATCCTTCTGGAAGAAGTCCTATCCAGGTAATGTTTAGGCATTATCTGCATGGGAATCTGCAGGATGTTTAAGAAACAGCAAGGAGCCAGGAGAAACTCTAGTATGTGAAGGGGTGAGCTAGTGGTGGGACATATGGGAAAGGGGGCCATGTCAGCCAGGGACATCCAGTTTCTACTTATTACTTAAGGTTTCTCACTTATTTGAAAGGTGGTCTTTGGAGTAGGTGAGTGATACCATTTGATTTAGGTGTTTAGATTTTTTTTTTTCTTACGATTAGAGAGGATGTTAAAACAGCAAAGTACAAACAGGTGACTAGTTTGGAAGTCTGTAGAATTTTGATGAATTCTTCAGACTAGAAGTCATGGTGGTAGGTAAATGTGTGCATGTTAAAGGGAGAGTCATGAAGACTTACAGGATGTTTTGATAGATCACATTTTGTGCATGAGGGGAAGAGGAAATGGTGTTTCTGGGGGTAGAAGCTTAACTAGAAAGCAATCAGTTTAATCTTTCTATGCAGAGTCTGTTGATGTGAACTCATTTAATTGTTACAGTAAGAATGTGTATAATTAATACATCCATAGACTCAGTATAGATGAGAAAATGGAAAGCTAATAGAGGTCGGGTACTGTTCTTAAGAAATGCTTAATTTGATTTGAAGCAATCGAGTTGCAGTGATTTTCACACGCGCACCTAGGGTTTTCTGGCATCAAAGTCTTGATTCTTTCCCTTACACGATAAAGCCTCTTTGGTTACTCTGTGAAGTGAATCAAACAATGAATTTATATAATTTAACTGTTATATTCATTTAATGTGAACATTAGTATTAGATTAATTTCTACTAAAGAATTAGGCATTTCATAGGCCTTCTTAGACTTATTTTTAATTTACAAGTGTTTTGTATATAGTCTTGGATGTGAAAATAATTCTTTTTGGAAAGAAAATGCTAAGTATTTTAATATAATTTCTTATAGTTTCTGGATTTTGCAGTAGTTAGAAGCAAGCAGCCCATTTCATTAGTTGACTTGATTTTGTGAATTGTGTTGAACATTTTGCTAGCTTTGTTCTCTTGGATCTTAAAAGCACATTTTCAGTACTAAAAATAAATGCCTCTGAAATTGTAGTAAGCATATCATGTAGTAGTCAAGGCACTGAAATAAGGTTAGACATTAATTTAACTGGTTAGTTCTAACAGGAATACTTGGCTTCTAGATTTTGCTGATGACCTAGAGAACTGATGTTAAATAATTTTTAGGTAATCTTTACTTTCTTAGTTTATCTTTACATTTCTTATCTTTCTCAGTTTTTCTAAAAAATGGCATTTGGGGTGAGATGCTGGAGGTTTATTTTTTTAAGTTCCCGTGTCATACATTTTTCTTATTCCTACTGAGATTACTTGATCATCCCCTATTTTTTTATTCCATGCTTCGCTCCATATCTCAATTTGCCTTTACTCTCCCTACAAGTATAATCTTTCCAAACCTTTGTACCTGCTAAAACAGCTTCTTGATCAGTGGCTCTCACATATAGCCCCCTTTCTAGCCTTTTTCTACAAATGTTTTGGGTTCTGCTTCTTAGGTATTTTGTTTATAATTTCATTATAATGTCAGTTGAGCTTAATTCTGTATAATGTCTGCTCCATCTTTCCTTGTGTGTATGTGCATGTGTAGTCTCATATATGTAAACCAGCTTCTGAAAACCCCGAGGACAAGAGCCTATCTAATTTATTTTCTTATCTCATAGTACCTTGCATAGAGCTTTGAACTAATAAGTGGTTCCTAAAACAAAACTGGGGGCCGGAGCTATAGTACAACAAGAGCTAGGAGTGAGCCCTGAGCACTAGGTAGCACTGTAGCACTGTCTTCCCATTGTTCATCGATTTGCTCTACTAGGCACCAGTAACATCTACATTATGAGACTTGTTGTTACTGTTTTTGGCATATAGAGTATGCTACGGGGCACTCGCCAGGCTCTGCCATGTGGGTGGGATACTCTCGGTAGCTTGCTGGGCTCTTGGAGAGGGACAGAGGAATCGAACCCAGGTCGGCTGCATGCAGAACAAACGCCCTACCTGCTGTGCTATTGCTTCAGCCTGAGCACTAGGTATGGCCCCAAAATCAAACAGGCAAAACCCAACACTTAGTGGATTATTAAATTTGGAAGGGAGTCACTAGTGTGTTTGTCTATGCATATATACATATGTGAAATGTATATGTACATAAGTATGTATATGTACAATATGTGTATATAAACATATACATAAACAACATACATATTATAATGGCTTTTTTTTGTATAACTGGCAGGTTACCAGAGCTTACTCCTGGCTCTGTGCTCAGGGATCACTTTTGACAGGCTTCAGGAACCATGTGGCGTGCTAGGGATTTAATCTTGGTCAGTTGCAAGTAAGACAAACACCTTATCTGCTGTCCTAGCCCTCTGTCAGAGGCTAATTATATTTTTATGAGACTTTAAAATTTCTATAATAAAATCAAAACACTGATCTCATTTCATGTTTAAAATACATTGGCTGGGACTAGAGAGATAATACAGGGTGTAATGAACTTGCCTTGCATGCAGCCAATTGTACTTCTATCCCTGCTACATTGTATGGTCTCCTGGGAACTGTAGGAGCTTTCTCTGAGCACAGAATTAGGAATAGTCCCCCCACATGGCTGTATCACTGTATCACTATCACTGCCATCCCATTGGTTATTGATTTCCTCAAACAAGCGCCAGCAACATCCCTATTCTTTCCAGCCCTGAGATTTATGAGCCTCTTTTCACTTACACAGCTGGATAGGCCCAATTTGTCTTTCCTCAAAACCACCACCACCAGTAATGACAAAAAATCTCACAAACATTTAAGCCAGTAGGGCATTTGCCTTGTGCGTGGCTGACCCAGCCAAGCCGGGTTCGATTCCTCTGCCCCTCTCGGAGAGCCCAACAAGCTACCGAGAGTATCTCTCTGTCACGGCAAAGCCTGGCAAAGTACCTGTGATGTATTCAATATGCAAAACACAGTAATAAGTCTCACAGTGGAGACGTTACTGGGCCCGTTCGAGCAAATTGATGAACAACGGGAGGAGAGTGCTACAGTGCTATCTTTTTATTTGACTTTTATTAGTAGAAAACATGAGATGGCCTTTTTAATTTTTTCAAGTCAATGTCTGCTGTGTTTATTATAAAGGTGAGAAGAACAGACAGATTACTGGCTGTGAGTAGTCAGTCATAGTAAATTATATATGTGTTCCTGGAAAAGAGCCCAGAAATATCTTAAGCTATAGAATCTTTTAATCAAAGGCAGGACTGACCTTTTCAGAAAACTTTTTCATCTTCTTAGTTTGTCTACACATTTCTACCTGCATAAAATATAAATACAAACTCGGATGATACAGTTTAATGTCATTTATTATTTCTGATATATATATTTCTTGTATACTTTTTATATGAAGTTTTTTATTTTAGTTTCTATGTTTAGGATTGAGTAGTTGGTTTCTTCATTTAGGAATTAGTTTCTGTTTGACAGGCCTACTTGTTTTTGTTTAAAGTTTGAGGATAAGCAAGAAGTTATCGAGGAAACATAGTTCTAAACTTCTTAGAATTTCTATATAAAAACCACTAAGGGGATTGCAAATGTCAAAGCCATAGCTAATATAACCTTTAAAACAAAGTTGGTGACAAGTTTATCCCCACTTGTGGTGAACATGAAGGAGAAAGCAGCGGAAAAGGAACACACATTCACTTGTATTGAAAAGTCAATAACAGATATCCACTAGAAAGCTGGTCAAAACACCCCCAACTTAGAAGGTGTTAAGGGACCATGGATAGGATGGTTATTTCTGGAGAAATCTTGTCCAGTGGAGCTTTGGCAATAAATAATTCAATAAAGTTCCTTTCTTGATGAACCCTTCCTCTGGGTAGAAAATGCGGGGATTCAAGTTTGAAGCAACTTGTGTGATAATGGGTAGAGGATAGAAGAAGGTCTGGGTAAAAACTGGCAAAAAACAGAAGCAATAGCTATGAGAAAATGATAGTTGTGTGTTGAAAACTAGACAAAAGGAGCAGACAGATTACTCTTAAGCTGCAAAGCAACAAAAGTTATGATGGCTCACCCTTTTTTAAGATTACAAAAGAGCTTGTCTCAGTTTGTACCTATTTTTTAGGTGTGCCCCTAGATGTAATTTTGCTCCTGATTATCATTTCCTTACATATCCTTTATCTATCTTTTGACAATATATAATTACATGAATAATCATATGGAACCAGGTATAATTTATACAGTGATGCAATTTGTATTCATTTGTATATTTTTATAATTTTCTTTTCTAAGTATAATATATAATTGGGCTGGAGCGATAGCATAGCGGTAGGGTGTTTGCCTTGCACGCAGCCAACATGGCCGACCCGAGTTCGATTCCTCCGCCCCTCTTGGAGAGCCTGGCAAGCTACCGAGAGTATCTCGCCCGCATGGCAGAGCCTGGCAAGCTACCCGTGATGTATTCGATATGCCAAACACAGTAACAACAAAGTCTCCAATGGAGATGTTACTGGGCCCACTTGAGCAAATCGATGAACAATGGGGGGACAGTGACAGTGACAATATAAAT